AATTAAATTAAAGATGTTTTGAAATAAATTATACATATCCAAAACATATTACACATATCGTTTAAGATATCTTTGATTCAACTGGAGATATCTTGAATTCAATTCAAAATATCATTAAAACAATTGAATTTGAGTTCATATTTACACTACGGACTTCGCTGTGGAGTAAACAAAAGAATACACAAATGTTTGATGGCAGCTAAAATAAAACAAATAAGAAATGGTTGATCGATGGCGTAGTATTGTAGTATTGTAATTAATGTTCTTGAATGGGGGCAGAGTTTTACTGTCATGAGTGTTCTTGAATGGGGGTCAGAGCTTTACTGTCATGAGTGTTCTTGAATGAGGGCAGAGCTTTACTGTAATTAATGTTCTTGAATGAGGGCAGAGTTTTACTGTCATGAGTGTTCTTGAATGAGGGCAGAACGCTACTGTCAAAGGATTTGTAAAGTATAATAATTATATGTTGTCCTTGTTAGAGAAGGGCAACCCTGCGGTCTCTGAAGAAAGGGACGCCAAAGTTAACATTACCTGCATCTATTCTCAACTAAGATAAACATAAACAGGTGTAACTACGTCATCTCCTGACACTACAAACAGGTGTACCTACGTCATCTCCTGACACTACAAACAGGTGTACCTACGTCACCTCCTGACACTACCAACAGGTGTAACGTCATCTCCTGACACTACCAACAGGTGTACCTACGTCATCTCCTGACACTACCAACAGGTGTACCTACGTCATCTCCTGACACTACAAACAGGTGTACCTACGTCATCTCCTGACACTACAAACAGGTGTACCTACGTCATCTCCTGACACTACAAACAGGTGTACAGGTGTACACTACGTCAGGTCTCCGTCATCTCCTACAAACAGGTGTACCTACGTCATCTCCTGACACTACAAACAGGTGTACCTACGTCATCTCCTGACACTACAAACAGGTGTACCTACGTCATCTCCTGACACTACAAACAGGTGTACCTACTCTCCTGACACATACACAGGTGTACCTACGTCATCTCCTGACACTACATGTACCTCGTCATCTCCTGACACTACAAACAGGTGTACCTACGTCATCTCCCTGACACTACAAACAGGTGTACCTACGTCATCTCCTGACACTACAAACAGGTGTACCTACGTCATCTCCTGACACTACAAACAGGTGTACCTACGTCATCTCCTGACACTACAAACAGGTGTACCTACGTCATCTCCTGACACTACAAACAGGTGTACCTACTACGTCATCTCCTGACACTACAAACAGGTGTACCTACGTCATCTCCTGACACTACAAACAGGTGTACCTACGTCATCTCCTGACACTACAAACAGGTGTACCTACGTCATCTCCTGACACTACAAACAGGTGTACCTACGTCATCTCCTGACACTACAAACAGGTGTACCTACGTCATCTCCTGACACTACAAACAGGTGTACCTACGTCATCTCCTGACACTACAAACAGGTGTACCTACGTCATCTCCTGACACTACATACAGGTGTACCTACGTCATCTCATGACACTACAAACAGGTGTAACCTACGTCATCTCCTGACACTACAAACAGGTGTACCTACGTCATCTCCTGACACTACCAACAGGTGTACCTACGTCATCTCCTGACACTACCAACAGGTGTACCTACGTCATCTCATGACACTACATACAGGTGTACCTACGTCATCTCCTGACACTACAAACAGGTGTACCTACGTCATCTCATGACACTACAAACAGGTGTACCGCTACGTCATCTCTACTGACACTACAGGTGTACCTACGTCAAACACAAACAGGTGTACCTACGTCATCTCCTGACACTACAAACAGGTGTACCTACGTCATCTCCTGACACTACAAACAGGTGTACCTACGTCATCTCCTGACACTACAAACAGGTGTACCTACGTCATCTCCTGACACTACAAACAGGTGTACCTACGTCATCGTACCCTACGTCATCTCCCTGACACTACAAACAGGTGTACCTACGTCATCTCCTGACACTACAAACAGGTGTACCTACGTCATCTCCTGACACTACCAACAGGTGTACCTACGTCATCTCCTGACACTACAAACAGGTGTACCTACGTCATCTCCTGACACTACAAACAGGTGTACCTACGTCATCTCCTGACACTACAAACAGGTGTACCTACGTCATCTCCTGACACTACAAACAGGTGTACCTACGTCATCTCCTGACACTTCAAACAGGTGTACCCTCGTCATCTCCTGACACTACAAACAGGTGTAACTACGTCATCTCCTGACACTACATACATGTGTACCTACGTCATCTCCTGACACTACCAACAGGTGTACCTACGTCATCTCCTGACACTACAAACAGGTGTACCTACGTCATCTCCTGACACTACATACATGTGTACCTACGTCATCTCCTGACACTACAAACAGGTGTAACTACGTCATCTCCTGACACTACCAACAGGTGTACCTACGTCATCTCCTGACACTACCAACAGGTGTACCTACGTCATCTCCTGACACTACCAACAGGTGTACCTACGTCATCTCATGACACTACATACAGGTGTACCTACGTCATCTCATGACACTACAAACAGGTGTAACTACGTCATCTCATGACACTACAAACAGGTGTACTTACGTCATCTCATGACACTACAAACAGGTGTACCTACGTCATCTCATGACACTACAAACAGGTGTACCTACGTCATCTCCTGACCCTACAAACAGGTGTACCTACGTCATCTCCTGACGCTACAAACAAATGTACCTACGTCATCTCCTGACACTACAAACAGGTGTACCTACGTCATCTCCTGACACTACAAACAGGTGTACTTACGTCATCTCCTGACACTACCAACAGGTGTACCTACATCATCTCCTGACCCTACAAACAGGTGTACCTACGTCATCTCCTGACACTATAAACAGGTGTACCTACGTCATCTCCTGACACTACAAACAGGTGTAACTACGTCATCTCCTGACACTACAAACAGGTGTACCTACGTCATCTCCTGACACTATAAACAGGTGTACCTACGTCATCTCCTGACACTACAAACAGGTGTACCTACGTCATCTCCTGACACTACCAACAGGTGTACCTACGTCATCTCCTGACCATCTCCCTGACTTACTACATACAGGTGTACCTACGTCATCTCACTACCAACAGGTGTACTCTGGTCATCTCCCAATACCACTAACAGGTGTAACGTACGTCACATCTCATGACTTACTACAAACAGGTGTACCTACTGTCATCTCCTGACACTACAAACAGGTGTAACACTGTCACTCATGACAACAGACAGTGTACTTTACGTCATCTGGCGGCACTACAAACAGGTGTGCCTACGTCATCTCCCTGACACTACAAAACGGGTGTACCTACGTCATCTCCTGACGCCTACAAACCGGTGTACCTACGTCATCTCCTGACACTGCACAAACAAAATGTACCTACGTCATCTCCTGACACTACAAACAGGTGTGCCTACGTCATCTCTTTGACCTACAAACAGGGGTGTACTTCTAAATCATCTCCTGACACTACCAGGCAGGTGTACCTACACTCATCTCCTGACCCTACAAACAGGTGTACCTACGTCATCTCCTGACACTACAAACAGGTGTACTACGTCATCTCCTGACACTACAAACAGGTGTACCTACGAACAGGTGTATCATCTCCTGACACTACAAACAGGTGTACCTACGTCATCTCCTGACACGGCAAACAGGTGTACCTACGTCATCTCCTGACACTACAGACAGGTGTACCTACGTCATCTCCTGACACTTCAAACAAGCGTACCCACATCATCTGACACACAAATCTCTCATATAGTATCATACAACCTAAAGCGGATACCTATATAATTATATCATTCTCACACCCTCCTCCCCGCATCTTCAACCTGTTGCCCTGGAGTTGCCACGTGCAATAAACTGGACTCAGAGGGGAAAAGATACATTTCAAAACATTCTTTAAACGCACCACACACACGACTAGTGTTGTTGCGCTAAGGCAATTATTGATAATACCGTCCGCCCCACCAAACACCCCCTCATCCCATCCCACTCTCTCCATCATGTCGTCCTCCATCATTCATCCTTCTCTCTATCCTATCTCATCACCTCCTCCGTTCCTAATCTTTCCCTCCATCCATCCCTCTCTCGTCCCCTTTCCCTCCTGGTTTTGCTATCTAGATCCGCTATTAATTAGTTTCGATAACAAGTAAAGGATCCGGCATGCTATATATCAGGAATGACCTATTCAAGTTTGATATATGTTACATTTGGGATTACAATTTCTTAGTAAAGTACACATTATAGTATTTTTGTTGGGTTGAGTCCCATCCGGGATTCGAACCCACACCCTCAGAGTCAGGCACCTAACCGCTCAGCCAACAGCGGCTTCCGTTTTGACCACTTTTTAAATGGCATTGTGTATTCATATATAAAGTTTCGAACTAAAGTCGGGTTAGACATCATATCTAATCTAAATAGGCCCAAGTCTACGGTTTCGAAAAAAAAAGTTGAATTGATGCTTCAATGTAAATGGCATGTGAGTTTTGAGTAAACAATTGGAATTTAAGTTTTCAACAAAGACTCACCTGGTTCCTCATAAACATGTTTGGAAAGCTTAATGTCTTGTACGATTAAGCCCGTTTATCCAAACGGTGTTGTTAATAATGAAATTGTCAAGAATAACGAATCTACGGCTATAACAAATTACGGATACGTTTCCACATGTATGTGACCACAGATACGTTAAAAAATGTATGTCCGGAATGCGGAGGGTCCGGGCAATCGAGGTCCGGACTAGTGAGTTTAATATGGTCAAAGCATTGTCTTATACCGCACATGTCCCAAACAACATGAAGGGAGACAAACAGAACAGTCTATTCGCAAATCGTGTGTTCTGTAATTATCATTTTAAAATATACGCAAAAAAGCAATACTCACTTCTCGTAGTCTGTTTTACAGTATAGTTTCCTGTCCCGAGCGAAGCAGGATCCGGTGAGAGGTATTTGGCATATTGCGCACTGTAGACAGTGTTCGTGCCAAGAGTTCTCCATAACCTTCAAGAGGAAACGGTCTTCGATAGGGCACTGGCATCCCGAACACATCTCCTTATGTACGACAGTTTGGGAAGGCATTCCGTCTGAAGAAAGTTAGAAACTGGTGGTCAAAAGGTGTGATCATGTCTAGACTTTAAAATGATAGGGTATGCGTGATGGTATATATCTTAGGCGGTGTGGGATTGATCACACGTGACGTTTCCGTCACCAACAACCAACAACGTCATTCACAGGTACGACATATTATTCGCCGAGGGTGTTTTTACCGACGTTCTGGTGATGTCAAAAACTGGCAGTGTCGTTATTGCCAAACAACGTAGTCATGGTAGTGTCAATAGCAGTGGTAGTAGCAGTAGTAGTAGTGTTTACATCCTTTTTGTTTTGATAAAGACCTCCCGTTGAAGCGAATGGCTTTGAATTTGGATGGTTTGTTGTTTAACGCCGCACTTAGCAATATTCCAGCTATGTGGCGGCGGTCTGTAAATAATCGAGCCTGGACCAGACAATCCAGTGATCAACAGCAACTAGGATGCTATGACATGAGTCGACCAAGTCAGCGAGTCTGACCACCCGATCCCGTTAGTCGCCTCTTACGTCAAGCATGGGTTGCTGAAGACCAGTTCTAACCGGGATCTTCGCAGGTCTGAATCGAATGTCATGTTGATTAGCACCTTTAACAAACATTGAGATTGCACACACTAACCAATTCTATCACTGGAATACTTCTTACAAGATCTCTTCACACATGAAACTGATGATGATACTTATTGTGGAAGCGATTCCATCTATTTGACAATAACCATGTCCATTATCCTATCAAGTCCACTATTAAAAAAAACACGTTTTCGAAAACTGACAAAAAAGTTTATCATTTCACGATAGAATTTTCTGTTGCAAATCAAAGAATATCTGTATGGATTGTCCAGGGGTATCAATGTTTGCATAAAGAACATCAACACAGCAAACGCGAGGGATGGTATTCTCAGTGTACTAACGCAGGGGTTAAACTATCAGGCGATTCGTGTTGCCGCATTGACACCTTTCTACATAAACCCCACAAACATATTGACGACCATGTTTGAGTTAGAAATTAGACTTTTTAGAAAATCACCATTGTATTATAACTAAACATCTCCAAACGTGTTGCAAGCTCTTTGAAGATCGAGTAACACACACGATGCTAAACACAAGGCAAATATTTCTCGCTCTCGACCGCTTTGATAGCCACGCAAACCTGCATGGTCGGCGCATAGACCTCGAGGAGCAGTAGCACCGGGCAGAGAGGCTATGAGCGGGGGAGATATGTAAACTTCGGGAGCAAACAGAAATATTGAATACAGTGTTTGGAAAATCCTCCAAAAGCCGGCCAAGTGTCAAGAACTAAGAAGGGTAGTGAAAGACTATCGGAAATCTATTCTTGTGTTAAGTACAGGTGGTGCAGAGCTGGGGCAGTAATCTGAAAATGATATACAACGACATGACAGTGAGACCTCTTTGATTCCGAAGCTCCAAGAAAACCGTTGTGAAAAACAATGGAGGGGAGCTTGGCTGGTATTGAGAGACGGGCAATGGATTTGACAAACCAAACAAAGCCCTTTGTGGTCAACGATTGAAAAGCCATTTTTCACAGGGTGGTCAAGTCGTCCCTTGTTTGACTGGCAGCTGAGGGGTAAGGGGGCCATGCGGGTGAAGAACGGACGGGGTTAGGGAGGACAGTTTTGGAGAGAGGGTGGGAGGTTTGAGGACATGGGAAGGGTGGGTGGGATGAACAGAGGGTGGGGCTGAGGGGTAACAAAGCTTTGCGTGGTAGGGATTAGAGAGGGTCTGGGAAGGTCACAGTTGAAGGCAGCCTTTCGTCGAAGGTGACTGTGAGTTGACATTAGAAAGTAAACCTTTGAAAATTGCTTTCTCAAAACGTCACAGAGATGGAAAAGGTAGTCGAAATGCAGTAAACGTTAGGTCGAAAAGGCAACTATGATACCCGACAAATGTATCTCCAGGAACAGCCCTTCTCATGTCTTGTCCATCCTCCTACAGGCAGTTCAGATGCCGGTATTGACGTGATTCATGAGTGAGGGAATCGAACCCGGGCTGTGACGAGCAAACACCTGAACCACAAGGCTAACCCACGTGGACCATGAAAGAAGACATGTGTGCCAACCTACCTGCTGTCCTGCCTGTCTGTCTGACCGTCCGTCCGTCTGTGTTGTTAATGCTTACAGTATAAGTGCACGTATATATTTCTATTTTGGCGTAGTGTCTAGCGTCTCGCATGGGTCTTGACGCCAAGGGTTGTACTTGTGAAAAACTGACATTAAAAACTGTAAGTTCAGTGCCTGAATACTTTGAGCATACATACAAACATGTGAGTAAGCATTCGTCATAATACACTAGACGCCAAAAGAAACGTTACCCTCCTACCTTTATGAATTACTGAAAAACTATCAAAGATATTTTAGACGGTTTTAGTTTACACGAAAGCTTAAACAACACAGCTTTATGCAAATCACGAAAATAAATTCTCAAATGCTTTCATATCTGGGTGAAATGCATCTTTTTCAGAGAGTTAAATTGTCCTATATAGTGATTTTGATGTCCAAAAGATAGGTTGAAATAAAATTCTGCTTTGTGACAATGATAAACCATTTAAAGTCACCATTTTTCAACTATTAAAACAAGAAACAACTGTTGTAGAGTGTGTAGAATTGTAAAATAATCATTCCTATGATTTCAGTCTTTTAAAACATTTTCTACTGATTTGCATTAGTGAAAACAAGTAAAACGTGTCTTTGATATTGTGAAAAGATGTTTAGGCTCTTTGTTGACATTTTTGCTCGCAAAGTAACATTTTACCATTTCCATTTTAAACATACCAATATCAATCGCCCAAACGCAGGAATATCCAAACGGTATTTACATCCATTTCACATGCCGAATGATTCCATAGGGTATAAAGAGAGACTAGAAGACATGATCTGATACACAAGTACGAGAAATATGCCACGATTAACAGCTAAAGGGAGAGAGAGAGCCATTGGGATGGTGCAGATGGGGTCGACATACAATGCTGTTGCCAACGCCCACGGATGCCCCCGTATGACGGTTATAAGACTTATTCAGGGCTTCAGACAGACTGGGGTCACCGTAGACAGACCAAGAAGTGGACGTCCACGCATCACAACGCCAGCTGAAGATAGGTACCTCCATCATTAAGGAAGGAGGGTAACGTTTCTTTGGGCGTTTAGTGTACGTGTTAATGAAACATGAGCGTAAGTTAGAGTCTCTTGGTCTGGAAAACAGCGTCATCGTGGAACGACTACAGCATAACAACATCCCTTCAGATACAGGGTTTAAAGATTGCAGACACGCGCCTTTAACAAATAACAGTTGTTTCGAATGAGTGAGTGAGTGAGTTTAGGTTTACGCCGCTTTTAGCAATATTCCAGTAATATCACGGCGGAGGACACCAGAAATGGGCTTGACGCACTGAACTGATGTGGGGAATCGAACCCGGGCCGTGACGAGCGAACGCTTTAACCACTAGGCTACCCCACCGCCCCGAGATGATATGCCTTAACATTTAACAGGCACTATGGTTTCACATATAACAGACACTATGGTTTAATGATTTAAGACACTAGGGGATAGGTTTAACGGCGTAAAACCATACTCACTCACTCACTCACACTATGAAAACAGTATGTTCCATGAATATTGAATGGTCTATGTAATATGAATACGAAGGAAGTTAAATTCCTTAAAACCATAGTTACGATCTCCATAAATGCAATGTTTACTCTGTATGCAAATACAGGAAGTTCACGACTTTCTGGCCATCATGCCACAACCTATTTACATAACCTATCCGATCTCACTTAGCATGTTTGTTTTCAGTGTACTATGTATACGAATAGTGTAACTGTACCAAGCAAAAAAGAAATAAAGTGATTTTTTAAAAAAATTATTTAATCTGTTAAAAGTGTTCACGTCAAATTATATATACTGTTCTGCAATCATCATAACCACCCTGATTGCGATTTGACCCGACGTATGCAACTGTTTCCCGATTCCGTTTGAAACACAACCAATACGTTAAATCAATGCGTTTTTGTTTGAGAGACCTATTTTTCCCAATGATTATAAAACTAATCAACCATAAACATCACATTCATAAATAGCCTCGAAATTCTTCCTCTCCATCCACCACGACAATCAAGGCACACACCATCTTTCGAGTCAGTTGACACTTAAAGGCGCATGCCTCAACGAAGGATGGACTGTTCAATCCGCTCCCGCTGCGCACATTAAGTTGCGCAGCAGAGGTGTCCGCCATCGCTCTAGGGCACACAAAGACACTTGGTTTTCAGTGAGCTATCAAGAGATTTGATGAGTTAGTTTTGGTTGGTTTATCTGTGCAAATAGACCTGGGAAGCACATAACTGGGTTAGCACTGGCGGCACAACGCTTTTGGTTTGATACTCCGATGATATATGGATTGCTGATTGCGGACACCGAGGCATCAACTCGGTTGGGGGTGAGGCCAAGAATCAGAAGAGTGAGACCTCAACTTCGGTAGAGGTTAAGGCCGGTAGAGGGTGGAGCCGAAACTTTGGTAGAGGGTGGAGCACCCGAAACTTCCGAAACTTCGGTAGAGGTTAAGGTGTACACCCGGTAGAGGGTGGAGCCGAAACTTCGGTAGAGGTTAAGGTGTACACCCGGTAGAGGGTGGAGCCGAAACTTTGGTAGAGGTTAAGGTGTACACCCGGTAGAGGGTGGAGCCGAAACTTTGGTAGAACTTGGAGCCGAAACTTTGGTAGAGGTTAAGGTGTACACCCGGTAGAGGGTGGAGCCGAGAACTTAAGGTGTACACCCGGTAGAGGTTAAGAGGTGGTGTACACCCGGTAGAGGGTGGAGCCGAAACTTTGGTAGAGGTTAAGGTGTACACCCGGTAGATAGAGGGTGGAGCCTAAAACTTTGGTAGAGGTTAAGGTGTACACCCGGTAGAGGGTGAGGCCTAAACTTCGGTAGAGGTTAAGGCGTACACCCGGTAGAGGGTGAAGCCATGCTAAAAATTGGGATCACGCTTTCTCGGCAAATTACAGATTAATTACTTTGGGGGTTGATTCCCATCCGGGATTCGACACACGTCAGAGTTAGATTAAAATGAACGATAAGCTGACTTAAAACACCAGCCTTGGTTAAAACTGACAATAACCTTTGTTATGAATACATATGGCTAAGTTAAGTCATTTTAATAAATTCAACGATATGGTAAACTACCATCCGATAACTGAACGCTGTGCTTTTACAGGAAGTTGAGTTCAAATGAACCGCAATTGCTCAAAATGAACGCTGTGCTAGGTTGGATCGCTTGGTTAATATGAATGTTATGCGATGCGTGGAAGTTAGGTTAATATGACCGCTACGCATAGAGCCAGGAATAAACTGATCACTACAAGTAATCAGAACGCCGTGTAGAAATAAAGGCTATCACATGTAGAATTTTGAGAATTTTATAGTTGAACTTCAGTTAAAAGCTTATAGTTTTACGTGATTGAATACATTGGGTGCCTGTTATGGAGGAATGAGGACACATCTTACATTGAAGCTATTTTGCAAAATGATGGTGTACAATATATAACGTCAGGAAACGCTCGTATCCATATCGTGTTTCAACAAGGAATTAATTAAAGTTAAATTTAAGTTTAAATTAAGTTAAATTTAAGTTACGAACAGTTCTCAAGTAGGTACGGTACAATAGCTCATTTAACAACTTCTCCATTCGTCTATAGTTGGATTAAACTGATTTGGTCTCATTTTGAAAATCCAGCAGGTTTTATGAATTTTCGAAATAATACATCATAAATGTTCAACAATGTAAAGTGACTACTTGACAGACACCAGATGTGTTGTACCGATAGAAGCAGGTTTACACTGATCCTGCAATAAATATTTAGTTTGTAAATATAACACCAGCAAATACTAGCTATTTAGTTATATAAACGTTACTATTGCCTGTCGTGGGATAAAGAAAACCTCTTCTCTTACCCTGATGACGGTAGAAGGTAATGCTTGATGGACAACTAGTTTCAATGACCATATTCACAGAAAACATATGTCATATTATTTCCATTATATAATATCTCATAAACTTAATTTTTATTGAGTTCACCTTATTGAATATTCAGGAAGGGAAAGTGGTATATCAACAGTCTATTCAAAACATATTTTCCGCTTTTTGAATATATCAACGGGAGACAAGCACGTAACCATTCATTGAAACGTATAACTTAGCAATTCCAAGTCATGGCTTTGAAAGGAGGCCCCCGATATGGTAAAATAATGAGTTTGTTTGTGTCTGCTCCACATGTTTCTCTCACTGCAAAGCAAACTCCAGCTCATGCAGCATAGCAACGTCGTGAAATCCATCGTTGAACGTCGCCAGGACGCCGGCACGAGGACCGCGGGAGCCTTCGATTGAACATGGAACCTCGGCCAGAGAGGTTGACTGAATGATTTCAAAGGGAGAGGTAGGCTAGGGAGAATGTTTTCTTGCGAGATGCTCCTGTCGACAAGAAGCGTTTGAAGACAACCCCCAGGGAGGACGCGTGTGGGTTATGTCGCGCGACAACAACGCTCATGTTGAGCCACACGCGCGCAGGGATCTCAGACGTACCTGGTTCCTCTGCGGTCGCCGTATCGACGGAATTTCTGCGGCAGATGGAATGGAGATATGGCGGTGAAGTGGCAAGTTTGCGAAGTCGTAACTCCTGATAGTGTAATTGTCGGGACTGTAAATCTTGACGATACTTGTAGCAATAACGCTGCATCCCCAGTCGATATAAAACACTTCACAATCTCGCTGGACGAAACGCGTGCAGCTCTTTTCACGCACGCAAGAATGTACATGTCTTTTGATATTCGAAATTGCATATGAAGCTGTTATATTATTCTCAAAGCGTTGGGGAAATGAAAATGTTTTATACACAACAAGAATAATATGTACACACAATTTTAGTTGACTACTTTCATGGTCAGGGCCTTATAATGAGGCCGAATGGCGCTCGATCGCCATGTTGCAGACCCGCATGGGTACAATGTGTGAAGCCAGTGTTTGGTGTCCCCCGCTGTGATATTGCTGGGAAATTGCTAAAAGCGGCGTAAAACCATATTCATTCACTATGAGGCGGTGTGTGGTCCTGTGCGTAGAGCTCAGGTCACGAATCAGTTGAAGTTAAGCTACGTCGAGCTCGGAGAGTCCTTGGATGGGTGACCGTGTTTGTCAGCTTGACTCCTTAGAGTTTCTAGGACTTCAGTCCTGCCCCACAACGAAGCACATGTGATACATGTGGTCTCACCTTAGGGAAGTGAGTTTGTTCAAAATTGCCTCTGTTCACCCACTCGAAAATGGGTACCCGGTGGGATAAGTCATGTGACTATTAACTTTTAGCGCCTCACAGGCAGCTTGGGTTATCCGGGGTAATAATAATCAGATTCTGATTACAGCGTTCCAGTGAACAACTAGTCAGACGGATATTCGGCGCTATATAAATGCAGTATTATTATTATGAGGAGGCAGAAACTCGTAGTGATTCCATGAAAAGATAGAGGTCACCACGATTATATGCTGGTAGTATGACGCGTCAAAGAAATCGAGTGAGCAAGATTGCTGACTTCGTTGAATCTATGTCATCGTTTACCATTTGCGATGATCGATCATAATATCAATCATTGGATTATCTGGTCCTGACTCGATAATACATAACCCGCGGCCGTATAGCTGAAATATTACTGTGTGCGGTGATAAACTGAGGCAGAACCTTAGCAGATCGTGCTTTCCTAAGAACCGTCTTAACTGTGTATTGACTGGCGATTATGTGTGGATAGGATGATCAGTATGTCTGACACGACCAGATGAGCCTTTCAACGTGTACATACGTACAGAGTGTTTATTCCGAAGCCGAACATGTACTTATTAATCTTTAAAACATATTTAGATTGAATATTATACACCTTTTTTGTACTTCGAATTATTTCTCGTGAAAATTTTTAATCCGTGCCATGGAACATGAGTTTGCAAATAGGTCGGGACCGAGATCATATCTTGTCTTTTTAAAGCAAAATCAACATCAGCATGAACGCCTAGCTAGAATCTAACGTTGAGCTTCACGTTAACCCAAATGTTGCGCTAAATGATGAAGCAGCTCATTTGGGTGCATTTTCAATATGTGGTCACGTGCAACTTACCAGGAAGTGGGCAGTGGTTGTCGGTGAGGACTTGAGTGACGTCACACCCAGCATCCATCCAATCACAAACCTTCATACGAGGGCCGATGGTGCACGCAAGTCTAGGAGGAAAAGTAAACTGCTCTCACATTTGTAACGCATGTTTGAAAGTTTAATAGCAAAAACTTCGCGAAAGGAAGATTCCATATTCATGTTTTATAATAACAAACACAAGCATATATTTATACACGCCCCATACGTATGGTTTCGGCAATATATTGACTTCAATTATATTTTTCAAGCGTTAATAGGTAAATATTTTCCGAACCTCTTAAAAAGATAGAACGTTTCTCTAACCTTTAATATGTATGAAATTTCAACTTAAATTTATAGACATGGGGACAGTGCTCTCTATTCTTATGGGAAGACGTTGTAGGGACCTTTAGAATTTTGAATTTACAATTTACATTGTATCATTAATAGGATGGTTTAGTAACTCAATGGTTTGGGTTCTCGTCACGCCGAATGGTCGTGTTCGATTCCCATTGGTTACAATGTGTGACGTAAAACTCTGCCACTTGCAATATCAAATATTGCTAAAGGTGCCCCATCACTCCACCACTGTATCGGGGACGGTGGGGTAGCCTTGTGGTTAAAGCGTTCGCTCGTCACGCCGAAGACCCGGGTTCGATTCCCCCACATGGGTACAACGTGTGAAGCCCATTTCTGGTGCCCCCCCCCGTGATATTACTGGAATATTGCTAAAAGCGGCCTAAAACCATACTCACTCACTCATTGTATCACCTGCTACATCTAAGACTGTCAGTTGACAAAGACAAATCGAACTTAAAGAAACGTTTGGCTTTTCACGAGAACATTTGACCAGCCTTTGCATGTGTTTATGATGGGTGCCAGCATTTGTTTGGGAAAGATTTAGTTGGGATTCATGAACGGACGCTCAGGATAAAGTCGAAATCAACTCTGCCTTCAGCAGAGATCTCTAACGGCTGTGGAAAGGGTTTTGCACTTAACGTTTTGACAACGGATGAACATTTCAACATATTGTCACACGACGTTTACTCATTTTGTAAATCTACTGAACACATTTTTTGTTGCAAAAATAAATCGATTATGAATGTTAAAATTGTGTACCGTATTTAGGCTATATAATATAATAATGCAATGAAAGTTGTTGTTGTTGTTGTTTAAAAAAAGGTCTTTTGATATGAGCTGTCGGTCAAAAAAGCATACACTTGAAAATTGGATCCGACCTAAAAATTGCAATGTTATGAACATATTACAAGGCTGAAAACAGTCTTTCTACAAATGAAAGGTGCATATTAAATAAGATACTCGAATACAATCCATGACCAGTTCTTGTTTTTTTAATTTTCAGGCTCCATAAAACATGGTTGTATAATTTACCATTCCTGGCAGTGTTTATTACCATATCAGTTCGAGTGTAGACTTTGTGTCTATGGTGTCAAAGAGTAGTTATATCAACATCCCTTTAACCCATGGCTGTCCATATGATACATAGATATTATATTGATGCTGACATTTTGCACATGTCATACATATTCATTTCTTCTTGATGTTACCAAAGTCGACAAAACCATTTCCATAAACATAAGAAATATATGGTAAAAGGGGAATCCATTGCACCATTCCGTATAACTGCCATATAATGTTTTATACAATCATACTTATATATTTCTCTATGGCTATTAGCGTGTTGTATGTGTTATACGTGCTATTTACTTATTGATGCTAACATATTCTATACTTCATATACGGACATTTCTTATAATTATTGATAGTTACGAACCGCTTATAGGTATTAATCAACGCCCTGTTAATACAATGCATGACTAGCTTTTCACATCCATTTTTAAACTGTAAATTAAAATTAACGAAAGACGAAAACATTGTACAAGTGCAATTTAAATTTGAAACGTCAACCGAGCATACAACCACTTGAGTTTCCACCAAAAATCCGCTTTGAAAATTATACGAATGGATAACATTCAAATTCAGAGATACCAGGTGTTCGCAAAAATAGTAAGCATGACCTTCCCTACTGATAGCCTCCTATACAATAAACCCGTGAAGATCCAGGTTAGAAGTGATCTTCAGTAACCCATGCTCGTCGTAAGAGGCAACTAACGAGATTGGGTGGTCAGGCTCGCTGACTTGGTTGACACATGTCATCGGTTCCCAAATGCGTAGATCGATGCTCATGCTGTTGATCAGTGGATTGTCTGGTCCAGACTCGATTATTAACAGACCGCCGCCATATAGCTGGAATATTGCTGAGTGCAGCGTAAAACTAAACTCACTCACTCACTCACTCACTCCTACACAATAAACCCTATAAGGTTTGTTATTTCGCCATGATAATTATTTATACCGTATTTGGAACACTGCTATATATCCTGGAAAGGTAGTAGAAAATTGTCACGGTAATAGCATATCCATCTTACTGAAATGCATGTGTCTGGTTTGATACAGATGTCCTATTACATTATGCTATTATGTTATTATTAATTATAATTCCTTCGGGGCGGTAGGGTAGACCAGATGTTAAAGCGTTCGCTTGTCACGCCTATACCCGGGTTCGATTCCCCATATGCCTGATGTCTATTTCTTGTGTTCCCTCGCCATGATATTGCTGGAATATTGCTAAACTTGGCGTAAAACATACCGTATTCCTTTATTTCAAAGTTTGTCACTGATTCGTTAATAATCCACTCTGATAGCCACATACCGCGTTATCTTGTTTATTGTTAAGAATTGCTTCATCGGAAAATATCTAAGCATCGGATAATACCTGTTTATCACTACCTAATCTAGCGGTTGTATAAATCAGCTGTTCCAGTACAGCCTTGTTACCCCAAGATTTTAGACGCGGTACAAAAACGTATCACCATGTAAACTGCCGAACAAAGAGAGCCTGCAGTTGTGTTTAGTGGTGCCTAGAACTGACAAACAAGGAATGGTTTGCCATGTGTTGTACTTGATACCGGTATGAAAGGGGAAGAGATGCACACATTACTTTCACTAGAGTTTCAGTGGTTATTTAATAAACTTTCAGGACAAAATGGGGTTGCGCACCCCTGCACCCCACCTCTGAATCCGCCTTTGATTTTGTTAGGTTCGGTGACAGTTTCCAGCCTGTATTCTTTGTCATTTTTCGGTCAAAACTAATTTTCGAGTGAATGCTATCTTTTGTTTTTCTTTCTACAGTATTACCTACACACAACTATCTCTCCAATTTCATAACCCACTATTTAATGATTTATTACGAAGTACAATATTCAGGGATAAGAAAATATTTTGAAAAAGATCATTTGTATATCTTATATAGTTATCATTTATAATCGCTATATCTTAAACGATTAATGAAATAACACTTAGATAATGATTTGAACTAATGTAAATTTATCAAAATCAAAATATCCACGAAATCTTGTGGTCATAGGGGCATTAATATCAAATCGCATTTGCCTCGTGTCAAAAGAAGCACAAATAAAGTTGTTTGGCTGATACTGGTTACCTAATGATAATAATAATTATGTACAAAACAAAATGAAAAGATTTAGGATCAGAGTTCTGTCCCGCAAACGGATCAAAAGTCAATGTTATAGAATGGGAAACGATCGTCTAAGGGCTAACATCGCTTTGCAGAACCCACGATTGTAGATATCGTACATATAGGAACGTTTAACTTCAGGGTGCTTATTACAGATGAACTATTTAATTATTCCTCTGAATACTTCTAGATTTGAAGCAGCGGTAACAGTGAAACAGTAAAAATATTAATTGATTATGTTCCCTTTGTGACTTGTATGATATGTTTTCTTGATTAGATGAATAATTGGCTTGCTCCTGCATGTGTTTGTGATTTTGTTTCAATGTCTGTCGCGATATATTCTTTACGCATTTACCTGTATTACGATATTTTGTATATAATATGTATGTAAGTACTACATAGGTATCCAAATACTTGCATTCCGATTATACAGTTGAAAATTTAAAACAAAGCAACCACGATGCTACATATTTCATCCTGCGTTTATACACCATGTCAGGGTTATAAAATCACACTGACTTTATGACCCGCCTATAATTACAAAAAACAACAACGTTGATGTACTTTTTTAAAACACCTATCTGAAAAAAAGACTGAAAAATAGACTTCCTATGATGAAGCCAAAATGTCTCTCAAATTCAAAACAGATGAATAAACATTTAGGAAACAATACAGATCGCTGCAAGATCGTGGGGTCGTGCATCGTCTCGTGGAGATTAATATCGCAGTGACTCTTAGGTTCCAGTGGAGTGAGTGAGTGAGTGAGGCATTACGCCGCTCTGATCAGTATTTCAATTACATCACTTCTCGTCAGCTCAGCCAGAAGAAAACCCGACGATATATTGGTCGTAGACCTTCAGCGCGTGGGTGAAACCTACATGAACGGGTATGGTGCTGGCAAAATTAGAAACAATTTCAATGCAACTTTGAGATTCGAACCCGCTATCACAATATCTGGCGCAAGGGGGCGCAACTCTGCACCAATTACGATTAATTGGTTTACAGGCTGTTTGAAATATGTGAAAACAAATATTCAAAAAATCTTTTTTTTAAAGATAATATCTGTTATGATTGTCATATAATGTGTAAAATGAAAAAAATATACTGACACTTTAGAAAGTTAATGATAATGATAATTATATTAATAATACTCTATTGCTACTCGTCTCTTCTCAAGCACATTTTTTAATCTCCAAAATCTAACTCGTTGAAAGAAAGATTGGAACTAAAGTACAAATAAAGAGCTTGTCGTATTTGCTACATGTGACAATATACGGGCGGTGGGGTAGCCTAGTGGTTAAAGCGTTTGCTCGTCACGCCGAAGACCCGGGTTCGATTCCCCACATGGGCACAATGTGTGAAGCCCATTTGTGGTGTCCCCCGCCGTGATATAGCTGGAATATTGCTAAAAACGGCGTAAAACCAAACTCACTCACTAACATGTGACACTATAGGTATTAGTTTAATGGTACTATATATATATGGTTCAGCGCCGTTTCCTCATGTAGAGCCCTTTAGAGATTAGGGGAC